GAGCAGGGAGCCCGATGCGGGGCTCGATCCCAGGACCCTGGGATCATGACCCGAGCCGAAGGCAGACGCTTAACCATCTGAGCCATCCAGGCGCCACACACACAAAAACTGGGGAAAAAAAGATGTCTACTTCTGTGACTGAAATCTTGAGTGATTTTTAATCAAGCCTGAAGTTAGATAGGTAGCCATTGCCAATAAAGATTTTGTTTTAATAAGGGGGCAGGGAATGCCTAATACCAGGGTGAGTGGAAAACACAATCCATCCCCTTGGACTCCAGGGAAAAAAAATCAGTGATGCTGACCAACCCAGAGTAAACCCCCTTCCACTATAGCCCAGTCCCTGAAGTCCCATCTCAAGTTCCCACCCAGTCTTGACCTACTGCCTTGTCAATGGCCTGGAGCCCTCAGGGACCTCTCACCATCATGTACCCACAAACCTCAGGGAATTATGCCATCAATGCAAAGGGGGACCCACCCTCTCCAATCCCCCACTACCCTCTCCAACCCCTCATCCCCCCCATACACCAGGGAGCCCAAAGTAGAGAAGGAGGGGCAGATGGGAAATTCAAAAGCAGCACCTACTCAGAAGCCATGAATAAGGCCTGAAGGATGCTGTTCACGTAGCATGTGTTGCCCAGATTGATTAAACCAATCTTGCCCGTGTCTGACTTGGCCATGAGCCGGGGATAGAAACCAGCCAGCTCACTCTTCTGCGAGGTCCAGGCATCCTGCCCCAGCAGCTGCTTGATGCGGTCCTCACTGGGAACATGGAGGTCCTGAGGAGGGAACAAGGCAGCAGGATGGTGGGGACCATGGTCAGCTCTAAAAATATCACTTCCTCTGGGAAGCCTTCTTGGACTACAGCCTACCCCACCCCACCCAAGCACACTGTCCCACAAATGTCCCAGATACACGTGTTAACAGCCTTCTGCTTCCACACTTATTCTAGGTTCTCCTTTTGACACGTGGGCCTTCTATATCACCTTTCATGTCACAACTGCTTTGGGAAGGCGTAAAATGTCCATTTCGTAGATGAAAAAACAAAGACTCAAAGAAAAGAATTTCCCAGGGACATACAGACAATAAACAAAAAATCCATTTATTCTTAGGGGAGCCCAGGGTATGACAGACTCTAAGCAATGACAATACAGGCCCACCATCCAGATCCAACAATGTCAAGATCTCAGGCCTTGTCCTGACTCTTGTCCTAACTAACTGCCTGGCAATGGTCAGTGAGCCTCTCTGACTCCATTTCCTCATCTGTCAAGTGAGGCTACTCCTACTTTATATCAGTTTGGCACTCCATATTTTCACAGTGCTTGCGCACAATGATGCTCCCATTTGCCCTCCGCCTTTAGGTCTGCCATCAGGTTTAATTAGCCACCACCCCCCAGCACGATCCCACAGACAGGATGGTGAGAGGGTCCAGGGGTCCTGAGGTATGGGTCCTTGGTCAAGGGCTCAGGGATTAGCATGCTTTCTTTCTCATTCTCCTTTTCTTTAAGATTTTATGTTTATTTATTTGACAGAGAGAGAGATAGCGAGAGAGGGAACACAAGCACGGGGTGTGGGAGAGGGAGAAGCAGGCTTCCCGCCGAGCAGGGAGCCCGATGCGAGGCTCGATCCCAGGCTCGAGACCCTGGGATCATGACCTGAGCCGAAGGCAGACGCTTAATGACTGAGCCACCCAGGTGCCCTCTCATTCTCTTTTTTTTACATTAAAACAGATGCACCTAAAAGAACATTACCCAGCACGGGTTCTAATCTATTTTAATGAAAAACACCTAAGCATAATACAGTTACTTAATAGATATAAGCAACATTCCTCTAAGCCCTATTGTTTCCAGATCCTGAGCACAGACCCTAGACTTGTCCAAGCCTCCAGAGTTTCAAACCAGGTTAGCACTGAAGGCCCTGGTCTCCCCAGCACACACCGTCTGACCACCGCAGAAGGTCCAGCTCAAGCAGTGGCTTAACACTTCTGCTCACTCATTTCCCAGGAACATTTATTAGATCAGTCACCTCTCACAGATGATAAAAAACAGAGGAGTTGCCAAAGGCAAGATAAAAAAGATAGAGGCTTGGGGCACCTGGGGGGCACAGATGGTTAAGTGTCCAACTCTTGATTTCGGCTCAGGTCATGATCTCAGGGTCATGCAGTGGAGCCCTGCTTAAGATTCTCTCTCTCCCTCTCCCTCTGCTCCTCCCCATCTCTAAATTAAAATAAAGGGGGGTGCTCATTATCTTCTTAGTCCCTCCTTTTTTCTTCCTATTATCCCCTATCCAATCCCCACCCCATACACAACATGAACAAAAGGGACAAAAAGGCAGAAAGAACCTCACACACGTGCACACATGCACGATGCAAAATTATCCACACTAGAAAAAAATGCCATTTTTCCCCAAAGAAGGTAACTTGGTACTCTTACAAAAATAAAACAGAACTATGAAACCCTCATGTGACGTACAATGGCTCCCTTAGCAAGAAGCACAGCTCCCAGAAAAACTGCCTGAGAGAACTTTTCAGAATTTATTTATAAAGGAGCCTCGAAGGACGTGCTCATAGAAAACATGTAAAAGCGTTTAATAAACAATAAAATCCTATGGATTATTTGCTGCCTTGCCTCTCACACTGGCTCGTACCAAGAGGTATCTGAAGCCACAGGACAAACGTAGCACATCTCCCCAGAGCCATATTCTCTAATATTTAAGGAAGGAAAATGTCTGTATTAAAACAAATGTTTATAATTATGAAATATGTACTTGAATCTCTGAGATAAAATGAGATTTTACAGAAACACTGAGGTTTAGGTAAGCAGCCCCCTTCTGGGCTCAAGTACTCTGGAGGAAAGGTTTGAGAAGCCCAGATCTGCTAGATGAAGGAGAGTTGGTCTGGTTTGGGGCCCTCCAGTCTGATCTTCCAATGTCCCTTCCACTCCACTGACAAACTGCACATTCCCACTCCCACACCTTTCCCTCCTATGCATCTGGAGGTACCTCATCTTGCCAGTCCCCATCCCTCAAGGCCTCACTCCTATATCCCCTCTCTAGAAGACTTCCCAGGACCTTCTCAAGTGGGTACACATGAGATCTATACCTATCTTAGAAAGCCTAGCTGCCTGCACCTTCTGGTACCGGTATTTACAGATCCACTGTCCCCTGGATCTGGCCATAGCCCCTAGTGTGAAAAGCCTGAGTCTCATTCAGTGTGAGTTTCCCTCAGTGCCTAGTGCAGGGCCGTGCTCCCTCCTCTCTGTTCATGCCTCCATGACATTCTTCACATGACAGTCACGTTCATTCACTCACAGATACTTGCTGGGCAGAGAAATCATAACATGGTCCCTGCCCACCAGAAGCTCACAATCTGGCAGGACAGTAACAGTCACTTCCAACAAGTCAAAGCCCTGTCTTCTCTGCTCGTCTACCTCCAGTGACAGGCAGCTCATGATCTAGCAGGGTAGCTGCTTCTCTTGTTGGTTGGCTCTATTTGAAAAAATGCATTCTCTTAAGTTGGAAAAACAGAAGATCCAAGTAAATGCCTGATGTTTTGTTTAAAAGTATCAACTGACTCTCACTTGTGGTGGATTGTTCCCTTGTGTGTTTTGTAATTTTTGGATTATAAACTCATCTTTAGCAAAATTTTATCTTTGTGACTTGAAAGCACTTTTGTTTCTACAAGGCAACTCTTGGGTATTACAAGGTCATAACTACTTTTAATGTGAGTGCCTGAGCTTAGGGGTCCCACAACCCCAAAGACAATGAGAACTTGAACCCCTAAACCCATGTAAGAGCAGGTCAATGATGACAAATTTCATTTTTCCCAGTCCAGAGTGCAGACCAAGCCAGAAAAGTTTCCTTGACATCTATTTGAGACCATGTATATATTTTTTCTAGATCACTCTTTTACTAACAGTAAAGCCTTTGGGTCCTGGCTTACATGGGCCTCTTAGTGCTAATGCCCTAGTGGGAGCAGGCCCTAAGCATCACCTCCTGTCCCTATAAGCTCAAGTGGCTTAGTGACTATGGTTACACCCTTCCCCTTCCCTCCCCACCGCAGGGCAAAAGAGCATCATCTCTCACTTACCATTCTGGATTCGTTCTCGATTCCTTTTTGGCCCCTGGGGATTCCCCATTACTTTCTTGCAAGCTCAGCTATGTACTTAAAAAGACGTTTGTTATATTTTAACAAGCATTTCTAGGTGTTCTGTAGTGGGATGCTTTTCAGGTTATCTATCTGCTATGCTACAGAAATGGAAGTCAGATCAGAGGCTCTATAAGGGCCACCACCTACACCTAGAGCTCCTTCACCCATGCTCAGACCTGCCCTCTGTATCAGGCAACAGGAAAGGGCTCAGCAACCAGGCACCCTGCCTGTGTGTGTCTCTCACTACCTCCATGACTGCACGAGTCACCAAGCCTCTCCAGTCTCATTTCCCTCATCTATGAAATTCAGGTAACAACAGTACCTGCTTCTTGTTTCTTGTGTCTTGTGAGCATTAAAAAACAAAATATATGGAAGACATTGTCAAATGTGGCACTACCTACAAATGCTGTTGTCCTAGCAACCCAGGTCAGAAGTCCCTTCGTCCTTGTAACCTCCTCCTCTAACTGGAAATGATCCTTCCCTTCTCTGGTTCCTCACAGGAATTTCCTAAGCCATTTGCATCAGAGTTACTTCTGTGCAAGCCTAGGCTGCAAGCTCCTCAGTGGAGGCGACTTGGTCTGCCTCGTGCCTGTGTCCCCAGTTCCCAGCCTGGGTCTAGCACAAAGCAGGGCACCAGTAAAGCCATGTGAACACTGCTCGGGAGTGCCCTAGCCAGGGGGCGGGGGGGAGGGGGGGGAGAGATAGACAGCGACAACACATGACAAAGGGATATGGAGCTGTGGGAGCCCAGAAAAGTCCTGACCCAGCCTGGGGTGGGGAGGGGGTATCAAGACTTGTCAGGGAAGGCTTTCTGAGGGAGGTAACACTTGAGCAGAGCCTTAATGGATAAGATTGGATGGGAAGAGGAGCTATGCAGGCAAAGCAAGAGAAGGGTTTATAGTCAGAGAGAATGGCATATGCAAAGGCTCAGAGCAATCATGAGCGATGACCATCTGGGGAAAGGGCAGGTGGCTGAGTGTGCCTGAAGCACAGAATGGGCCAGAGGAGGTGACGGGACACAGGCAGAGACCAAATGATGGGGGGGCTGCCATTAACCTGTGTTACGGACTTGAGCAAGGCCCAAGCCAGCACTCTTTTTGGAGCAGGACAAGGAAGCAGGGGGGACAGCGTCACTCACCTTAATGGCCTCCATGACAGGCTCGTACAGATCTGGGAAGCCTGGGAACCGGAAGACCATGCAGTGGACCAGCTCTGCTAGCTGCTCCAGGCAGCTGGTCCCCGAGTTGGAGTCCTCCTTGACCAGAGAGGCCACCATGGGCGGGATGTGAGGGAGGAGCTATGAGAGCAGAGCACGATTAGGCTCAGGACCATTTACCACCCGAGACAGGGGTTGGTGGGCAGAGCTGAAGATACCCCGAGCTCCTCACAGCAGGGAGGTCTGACCACCTGGCCACTGTCCCCCTTGCCTACACAGAGCTCTGTGCTAGGGAGGCGAGTGACTCTTTCTACAGGACACATGAGCTTAGATATCCTGCTTCAGTCTCTTCGTCTATTAAATGGGATAAACAATTCCCTCCTCACAGTTGAGGCGTGGCCTGGGCCCAAGCCCCAGCTGTTAAGCCAAGCCAACTGGCCTGAGGCCTGAGTGACCAGGGTTATTCTTCTTTCTACCACCCTTCTTTCACCAAACATTTACATGCCCAACATTTCACCCTCACAATGACTTTATTCAGCAATTATCATCCCCATTTTATAGATCAAGAAACTGAAGTTAGAGATATTATATAATTTACCAAGAACTTCCGCCATGTGTTATAGGAGAAGCTGATGTCTGAAACAAAGCCGTTTTCCTCTGGCCTATGGAAGGCTAACTTACAAACCCACGGGGTGCTCTACCGTAATGTCCCAGGGAGGGACAGAGTCAGCCCACAGGAACTGGGAGTAGGGAACCCAGGAGAAGGATGGGAAGAAACAAGTATCTATCTGGTCCCTAGTATGCAGCAGGCTTTTGACAAATATCACCTCATCTAACCCTCTCCCACCATCCTGGGGGCTTACCCTGTTCCAAGCCCTCAGAGGTTAAGCGCCTGGCCCAAGGTCATCACATCTGGCAAACGATGGAGATGGGACTCAACCCCCAGTACCCCAATCCCTGGTTCTGCGCTTTTCCCACTGCGGCAAATTAGAAAGCATGAAATTTCTGCCCTGACCAGGAGCCATCAGAATCTAGGGCCCCATCTGCAGGTCAGGTCTGGGGAAAGGAAGGCAAGAGGGTAGGCCCTCCTTCCCTCCCCCGCCCCACAAGAACTATAGGCTGTCCTTCCCAAAGGATGGCCCCAAAGATAACAGAAAGGGCCCTGGGCTGGAGGCCAGGCCACGTGGGTGCTGGTCGGCAGCAGGGTATATCGGAAGGACACTGGGTCAGAAGTCAGACCAACTTAGTTAGAATCTTCCCCGTATCGCTCACCAGTTGTGTGTCTGGGACAAATGATTTAACCTCCCTAACCTGAAGTTTCCTCAGCTGAAACATGGAAAATATGATAGAATTCTCCCTCTTAGGGCTGGACTGAGAGTTAACATATGTACTGTCTTTAGTACCGTGCCTGCCACACAGCAGGCCCCTAAGCAACATTAGCCGTCATCATTCTAGGGCTGTCACTCTACCGTGGGCCTGTGGGGAAGCCATACACATTCTCTGGCCTTAGTCTCCTATCTGTAAAATGGAGTTTCAAGGCTCCTCCAGTCCTAACATCCAGGACTTCAAGGTCTTGGGCTTCAAACCCCCAACCCAATAGAGACAGCATGTCTGGACTCCAGCCAAACCAGTGGGGGATGGAGGACTGGCCCTCCACAGGGCAGCACATAGGGCCCTTACCAGGTGGAAGGCCTCATGGGAGTGCTGGAAGGTCAGGAGCATGTACTTGAGGACAGACAAGGCAGCTCCCCGGACAATGGGGTACAGAAGCTTGGAGAAAACCTGGAAGAGAGTCCCTGGTCAGGAGTTCCCCACGCCTGGGCCTCAGAGACCAAGTGCAGCCACAGACCTGAGAGGTGGTCAGACACACCAGAGTTGAAGCAGCAGACCCATGCAGAACCAAGAACACAGACAGTCTCACAGACCTATGTTGATGGACAGATGGACAGCAAGAAAGGTATCTGATGGGAGGGATGGAGAGACAGAAAGACCAAAAGTGACACACATTCTTGAGCGAGCAGAGGAATGAACAGGGGAAATCTGAGGCCCACACAGGTACAGTGAATTGTCCCGGGTCACAGCAAGCCTGGGTGGGAGCCCCAGTGCTCTGCCTCCCAGGCCCACACTGTCCCTGGCAAAAGCTAAGTGGGAAAAGCCATAAGCCAGGGCTAGGACAGTGGCCCACCAACCTTCTCAATTTTGGCGAGTGAAACCTCGATCAAGATGCTGAACTTCTTAACAGCAGCCAGGCCCTTCAACAGTGCAATGATCCACTTGTCAATGTTCTTCCCCAGGGGCCACGACACCCAGTCGATCATCCTGGAGAGGGGAGCAGCAATGACACAAGGACCAGGGAGGCCCAAATGCCTGGGTGAGGGCATCCCAGGGACAAGCTATAATGTCCTGAGACCCCACACTGACCCACACCTGCACAGAGCAGCCCTGGGGTCCATGGGATGGACAAGACACCTCTGAGAACTGCCAATGAGCCCAGCATGGGCATTCGGCAGAGACTGGGGCTCCCAGCCCAGCAGGAGGGGAACCAGACCCTCTCAACACCCCAAACCTCACCCCACACACTAGGCTGCAGTGGTAGAACAGGGCTGTCAGCCGCCTCTGCCTGGACCATGGGGCCCAACAGCAGGAGCAGCACTGCCCCCCACCCCCGCCATGCTGGAAGCTTTGGCTCCAGCAAACTCTTGCTTGTGACCTAGAACAAGTCACCCTCTCTAGCCTCGGTTTCCTCCTCTGCAAAATGGGGATAATACCTACCTCACAGAGTTGTTATATGAATTAAAAGACGTGACAATAGTTAACTCTCACAGTATTCACTCTGCACCATGCACTATTCCATCTGCCTTACATGTATTAGCCCATCCGATCCCCACAAGATAATGGTTCTGTGCACAGAGCATGAAGCTGCCACATAGTAAGTGCTCAGGAAAATGGCATTACGTCATTACTTTTACACTCATAAGACTATGCCATAAAGAGATAGAACAATGACAGACCAAAGCAATAGTAATTATGACAGTAGCTACCATCACTGCTCTAAACACTTTACATGTATTATCTCATTTTATCTAATCTTTGCAACAACCCTGTTATGATGGGTTCAATTACACTACATTTTATAAATGAGGAAGCAGAGGCCTACAGAAGTGGAGTAACTTGCCCAAAGTCACACAGACAAGAAGTAGTAGAGCCAGGATCTGCACCCAACCAGCTTACCTCTAGAGCCCACACTATGCACTAAAGACAAGAAATCCAAGAAGGCCTAATGGAGATGGTAGATCTGCACACAGGTATGAAAAGCATGGTGGGGGAGGCATGCTAGGTGAATAGGATCTACAAAGCCAAAGGCCTGTAGGCAGGAGGGAAGGCAGCATATTCTGGGATCAATGGATAGGCAGGTGTGGCTAGATCACAGGTGTGATGACATTCAAATGAGGTGGGGGAATGTGCAAAAGCTGTGAGATAAAAAGCACCCCAATTCTATTTATCATACCTGCCAAACTCAAGAAGCACTCTGTAACATACTTTCAGCTTCTAGTATGGCCCCATGGAAGCCTGACAACTCCTTATACCATCTTTGCTATTACAGGGGGGGAAACTGAGGCTCAGAGAGTTCACTGACTTGTCCAGGATCACACAGTTGGCACCCAACCTGAGAGCATCGCTAGGGAAAGGTTCTTTGCATCTGCCACATCCAGCCCTGGGCCAGGCACAGAGCAGGGCTCAAGAAAGGATGGACGAATGAAAAAAGCATGAGGTCCTGGGCCTTCTGACACTAAATCTAGCCCAGCAACCCCACCCAGTGGAAGGAGGGAGAGACACCTAACCACCACCCAGCCCTCAGCCCACCTGCTGATGGCAGTCAGCATCTGAGAGTCTGTCACACTGTCATCATTGCTGAGGTTTCGGACGACGCCGTCCATAAGCTCCAACGGTAGGTGCTGAACCACGCTGGCCAGGGCACTAGATGGCGGCTCTTCCTCTGGAACGGTGTGGGGGCTGGGATGAGCTTAGCAAGGCAGGTAGGCTCCTCACCTCCCCCAGTCCCCCATGCCCTCATGCTCCCAAGGAACGAGACCAGAGCACATTGGGGCCACCTCCTCACCTCCTACAACATCACAGCCTCCTATCCCACCTTAGTTTATTTGCCCAACAAACCTTCACTGCCATGGCTTGGGGCCCAGCCCTGCACTGAGCACAGACAAAAGCACTGACCCCCCCCCACACCTGTGTCTATACAGACAAGGTCTGTAAGAAAGGGTAACACTGGAGCTGGCAAGAACAGGTAGAAGAACAGGTGTGTTTCCAGATGGAAACACACACAAAGGCCTAGAGGTGAAAAAGAGCATTTAGTTATCAAAATGTGTTGTCCAATTGGATAACTGCTTATACATCGGGGCTTGGTTCTTTCACCTGCCAGGTGCCTTCTCTTCCTTTCAACTGAATAGCCCTATAATCAGGTAAGGCACCGATCGTCTTTCGCTCATTTATAACTGTAGTCCAAGTACCACAGTTGTTAGTGGAGGACCGAGAGTTTACATTTCAGAGTTGAGATGCACAGGCTCCATCGCATGTCCAGAACTTGGCCTCTGCCTGCCCTGAGCACCTTGCCCCTGCTGCTGCCCAGCTCTCAAAACCTGAATCAAAAGTCACCACTTCTACAAAACCCACCTGACCCAAAGGGCATGATGACATCCACACCTCCCCACCCCTTTCTGTTGTCTCACGACCCCAGTCCCCCTTCTGGCCAGCTTGATCTGGGTCCGCTCCTCCGTATGTGCCCAGCACCCACCACAGGATAGTTCTCACTGCACGAGCTCAGGAGAGCCCTGCTAATTAAGGAACATCGCATTCCCGCACCTGTTCATTAGCCCCTCACACACACACCTGCCATACCTCGACACGGGCACGCCAAGCACAAGACCCTGCACGTGCAGTCACGGGCCCGGCGCACATCCGGCCCCCGGCACGCACGCGCTCCCGCCCCAGCCCGGGCCCCAGCCCACACGCACCTGTGCAGGAGATGACAGCGAACAGCTCCTTCAGACAAGGCAAGATGGCAGCGGGCTGGGCGCGCCACAACTGCGCCAGGAGCCCGCTCACCTGCTGGGCCTGCTCCAGGAACTCCACGGCGCCCTCCTCGCCCTCGGCCGGGCAGCGGAAGCGGCCGAGGCAGCGCACCAGCTGCTGGCAGAAGAGCAGGCGGTGCGGGCCGTCGGGGACGCAGCGCGGGTGTCGCGCCAGCAGCCGCGCCACCTGAGCGCAGACGGCGGGCCCCGGGCGCTCGCACACGGTGCGCAGCACCTCCCTCCGCAGCAGCGCGAACACCTCGTCGGCTGCCGGCCCCTCGGGCAACAGCTGCAGGCCGAGCTGCACGCAGGCGAGCGCGCGGACGCCCGGCGGGCCAGCGCCCCCCTGCAGCAGGCGAAGCACGCGGCGCGCGCTGAAAAACTCCGCGAAGACGTCGGGGTGGTGGCGGCCGGCCACGTGCAGCAGCTGGCAGCCCACGCGGCGGGGCAGCTCGTCAGCTCCGCTCACGTAGAGGCGCGCGCCCAGCGCCAGCAGCGCCAGGCACTGCTCCCGCTCCAGCGGCTGCCGCGCTGCCTCCAGCACGCGCCGCACCAGCCCCTGCTTCACGCTCGCGGGGTACGAGGACGTCACCACCGCCTCCAGGATCTTGTCCATGGCGCCACGCTGCAGGAGACAGGGAGCACGGTCACACTTGGGCCAACCGATCCAGTGCCCCAAGGGGGCCCCTGCATAAGACCTGGGGCGAGCAACCACCTTTCTGGGCCTCCGTTTCATCACCTGTGAAATGGGGCGAGGATACCTCACGGGGAGGTATCGGAATGAAGTAAAGTGCAATGCCTGGCCTGTAATGAGCCCCCAGGGAGTTGTGGTTATTGCTGATGAGCGTCTTTAATCTCACAAAAGCAATATCTCAACCTTCCACCCTTTCCCCCACTCTTTTGCCCTTCTCTCCCCAGGCCTCCCTGGTGACCTCATCCACTCGTGGGGCTGGTAGAAGCTGGTTATAGAAGCTGTTGTCCAAAATCTTGGCCAAGTCCTGTCCTGTCGGGGAAGATGAGAGGGGACATACACAAAATCACACCTCCAAGGAGGGGGGGCAGGCAGGCTTAGGGTCCCAAGGAAGGATCAACGGGGAGATCCCTGCACACTTTATTTTGCCCCAAATCAACTTCTTGCTGTTTCCCAAGTGATCTACACCTTTCTAAGGCTCCACTTCTTTGTGTATGTTGTGCTTTTTGCCTGAAACATCCTATCTCCCCAGACCTCCACCACCACCACCACCCACACAGCCAAACTCCTGTTCTCCTTCAAAGCTTACCTCCAACACGCTGTCTTCAAACAGAACATCCCTCACCCTCCATTCCTACAGCCCCCTGTGGCTTATTTCTCCATCACAGCTGGGATCCCATAATTCCCTCCAATGAAGCAGAGTTTATCATGTCTGCGGCCTGCCCTGCCTCCAGGCCTAGCTCCACAGCCTTGCACGCTCAAGGCCCTGCCTGCCCCTCCCCAGCCTGAGTCCACACCAGCCCCTCACTCTGCCTCCAGGCCTAGCTCCACAGCCTTGCACGCTCAAGGCCCTGCCTGCCCCTCCCCAGCCTGAGTCCACACCAGCCCCTCACTCTCAACTCACTGTGTTCTCCCTGCCACTGCGCCCTTTGATATGTTCTTCCCTCCCCTCCTTGCTTGACTCACCCTGCAGACTTCGGCGCAAACTCACTTCCTCAAGGAAGCCTTGCCTAACCTCTGTTTGGATCAAACATGCCTGTTAACAATTTCAGAGCCCTTGTCCTCCTTTACGGTACTTATCATGATTCCTTGGTTGGAGTCAGCCTCCTTCACTATAATATATAGGTTCCTGAGGGCTGGAACCATGTCAGTTTTGTTCATTCACCTAGGCCAGTGCCTGGCACATAGTAGGCATTTGCTGAAGAAGCAAATGCAAAATATGGTGTGAGTTACTGCTACCTTATTCCTCTGAGCATAGTAGCCTTCCCTTTGCCTTTCCTCTCCCTTAGGGCAGTTTCCTAGAAGCCTTTCTCCCAAGCTGACCCACTTTTACTCCTGATTTTCATGCTGGTTCACAAAGGTAAAGCTTGTTGTCTTAATATCCAACTTTCAGCTCCAAGAAGACAGGGTCATTTCTTCTTTGTATAATCCCACTCTAGGCAGAACCTGATATAAGGTTCAGCATACAGTAGGTGTTTAAACTTACTGGCTCGGTAAAAATTATTTTGAGACCTGGAGTTGGTGTGAAGACAAGCCATACATTTACTAAATGAGAGGCCAGAAACTTTTATTCAAAACCACAGATATTGTGGGACCCAGACTCTGTGCTAGGCCCTACGGAGACACTCCGTTCTCTGTCCTAGCTCTTGGCTGAGACCAAGCTTCCATTATTGCATGTGTTAAAAGCAATGGGCCCACTTGTTTGTCTCCCTCACCAGGCCGTGAGTTCCTTAGGGCAGGGACTAGGACTTACTTCTCAATGGCTGGCATCTGAGGTTACTGGAGGTGAAGCCAGAGTACAGATCAGTGGTTCCCAAACACTGGCTTGGCTCCCTCAGAACCACCTGGTAACTTAGCACAAATTCATATGCCCAGGGCCCACTCCAAGCCTCCTGGAATAGTGTGTTAAACTCTTTTTACTCTGAATGAGATTCATCTGGAAATGAAGTCTGCTTACCATCCCTGTTACTTATGTTCTCTGAGTCTATTTCCACTCCGCAGGGAAGTGCTCAATGAATCAGTCCCCTTCACTTTAGAAGCAAAGCCCTTGCCCTTAGGAACTTCCAGTCTGGTGGTGGAGACAGACGTGTTGGTAGAGAGTGCCAAACAAGGCATAATCTCAAAGGCCTTTAAAAAACTGGTCTCCCTTCATTTCTGGTCTTCTCTTTCCTAGGCAGTGTTTGTGACCAACCTCCCTTGTAGACCATCCTTGCAAATCCCTACCCCTGCCCTCCAGGCTAGTGGACTTAATATGCTTTCAACCCAGGATGCCAAGAAATTCTGTTATTCAGGCAGCCAAGAAGAAACCGTAATCAATGGGATATTGACATCATGTGTGGAAGAAGAGGGCCTGGGGGCAGGCAGAAATGGGGTTCTAAAACTAGGGAAGGTTCTGGAAATGGAAAGAAAAACAGACCAGGAATGGCGAGTCCTAAGTTCTAGTGTGACCTTGGGCAAATTTTATTCTAGTCTTGCAACTCATTATGTGACCTTGAGCAAATCACATCATGAGCCTCTTTTCTGTTCTGTAAAATGGGGATAAGTGATATCCGGTTGAACCACATGAAAGCAAAGGAGCAGATGTTGGCAATTTCATATCATTCTACCTGATACCTTTGCACTTGGCGGCTGGAGGCCCAGCAGTGGTGCCCTTCTGTGAGGGCTGTGATCTCCGAGGCCAGCCATGCAGCCTCCGTGCAGTCCATGGCCCGGCCACTCCAGGCAAGCCCTGCCTACCTGCCCCCACTCCCACACAGGCTGTCTGAGGTCAGCTGTCACCATATTCACCAACCAAACCCACTCAATATCTTGGGTGCGTTCATGCAAAAGGGTTTTAGAGGCTTGGAGCTCACCTGACCTCATCACAGGCCACAGAAGGGAGGCAGGACAAGGCCTGATTTCCCTACGGCACACATGGGAACGTGGAGGATCAACATAGAAAAGGGATGCAGCCTTGACAGGGTGGGATAAGAATGTGCACTTGGTCTCCCTGGGGGAGGAAGCAGCAGACCACCAGCATTCCTCAGGGGAAGGTTGGATTATTCCTCTAGGCTCTGGACAAGGAGACGGCCTGTCGACACTGGCTCTGACCCAAGAGACAGCTGCCCCGCACCAGGCTCACAGCACACAGCAGCAGTATCCTTCCTTAGAAAAGCCCACATGAAGGGGCGCCTGGGTGGCTCAGTCGTTAAGCATCTGCCTTCGGCTCAGATCATGATCCCAGGGTCCTGGGATCGAGCCCCGCATCAGGCTCCCTACTCGGCGGGAAGCCTGCTTCTTCCTCTCCCACTCCCCCTGCTTGTGTTCCCTCTCTCGCTGTGTACTCTCTCTGTCAAACAAATAAAATCTTAAAAAAGAAAAAAAAGGAAAAGAAAAGCCCACGTGAAAAGCAGGAGACCCAGGTTCTCTGCTTCTGAAACACCAGGTGACCTTGGGTGAGTCCCTGCCAGCCTCCTCAGCTGTTTCAACTGGAAAATGGGGACCATTTCAGCCCTGACAGGGAAGGGGACAAGATATAAAAAAGATGATAGCTGGGGCAGTCATGAGTCTCTTCTTGGGCCATCTGGCACCAAGTGGGGAAACAGACACTGTCAAGCAAGGAGACAAGCAGACACACACTCCTGATCTCGCGGATTCTACCAGGAATTTCATCCCTCACTGCCAAATTAGTGTTTCCACTATCTCGCCCTGAGCTCCAGCAGCACCCAGGATCAGCTCCTCTTTACTTCTTGCCTGGACTAGTGCAGTAGCCTTCTAACCCCATCTCCTCATTCCCTCCCTCAATCCATCCTCCAGTAGAGGTATGTGTTCTCCAGAATAGAGTCCAGCCTTCGAATCTAGCCCAGGCACTATGCCCCAATAGTGCCCAAAGCCTTGAGGTAGGTGCTCTTTCACGGTTCTGAGCCTCTGAGCCCCCAAATGGGAGACGACCACCTGACCACCCCTTAGCCTTTCCCAGCCAATCCTGCTGCTCTTCCCCCGAGCCCTTGGTTTATACCTCTCATTGCTGGCATGACAGCCTGAGAGTCCCAGCAACACCCAGTCTGCTCCAGGGCACACAGTAACATATAGGAACATCACGATCCCTCCCCTGGAAAGCCCAGATCCCTTTATCTGTCCCTTTTGGATGACCCTCCACATTTCCACTGTGTATTGACAGGTATCTGTTCCTGCTTAGTGAAGCCTGACTCATCTCCACCACTCCCAAAGCACCGTGTCTGTGTGTGTGTGTGTGTGTGTCCAATGCCCTGCCCCCACACCCTGGGCCCAATTCAGGCTTCCTCACATCCCTCCCAGGTCTCTGTGACCCACTGTGCAAACATCGTCTGATTAATCTCATTAGATGATAAGGTCCATCTTGCCATGCCCTGCTCAGAACTCTCAAGGCTCCCCAGCCCCTTCAGCATAAGATCTGAACTCCTGAGCTTGACATTCAAGCCCTTTCTGTGACACTTGGCTGATGGAGGGCAGGGGTAGACATGAACTTGACCAACACTGTTTGGCGACAAATCTGAAGGAATATGGGCAGTGGGCTTTTCCTGTTGCCCACCTTTTGGTGATGTCCTCTCTGCTGGGAAAGGCTTTTCCCTCTTCTGGCAAATTCTGACTCATCCTCCAAGGCCCAGGTCACATGCCCCCTCCTCTGGGAAGCCTTTCCTAACCCCCCTGCAGTCCAAGTCTCTGAGCTTTCCAAGGCCCTCTTTGCTTTTCTCATCCCTCAACAGTGTCACTGGATTCTATGTCTATCTCCCTCACCAGGCTGGGATCTCCTTTCAAAGGAGGTCCAATCCCCTATCTGTGCTTAGCACAGGACCAGGCACAGAGGCAAAGGAGTGCTAAGTGGCCAATGGAAGATATGTGACAGCAAGATGAGATAAAACTAAAGCTGTCACCAGAAAAGCACCCTCCAGGGACTGGCCCAGTCACTGCCCTCTCGTCTGCCAGGTCTGGTCCTGCATATCCATAACCCTGAGACTCAAACATTAGCCAAGAAAGTCCCTACTGAGGTCACTGGACAGGACTGAGTGAGGATTTAGCCATTTAGAAATGACTCAAACAACCAAAACTGAAGAAAAGAAAAACAAAAACTGTTCCTGTTTAGCCTTCAGGTCAAAAGCTCACAGAATCTCACAGGACAGGGAGGGGGCTTCAGGAAGGTCCCACTCAACCTCTCCCTACCCTAGAGCACAGTGGACCCTCCAAGCCCCAACTTAGCACCTAAGAGCCAAGGAGCCCATTTATTCTCCTCTCTGACCCTCACATCCAGTCGACCTCCACTGACTCCCCTGGGTGCCAGAGCCGCCTGGGGAGTACTAGGTGTCCCTCCCAGCAACCCCCCACCCATGTCTCTGGACAGCAGCATCTGAATTTTTATAACTGAATTTCTTCTACCCAAGGCAGCCCTGGGAAGGATCCCCTTGCCCTCCTACTGGGAGGCCCTTGTCTGGGCCACCAAACTGTCTCCTAAGAAGAAAGAAAGAAAAGGTTTTACTGGTAAAAAGCAACCGCTCTTTAACTGGAGGGGAATGGGAGGAGAGAGAGCATATATTCCCTTCTCAGGAACCCACCACAATCACCCATCCCTGCTGGGGCCACCCTTCACGTACTTAAGATAGCCACATCCCCACCCCCACACCAGGCTTTCTGGAAGGGTGGGCACCAGGCTAACACAAGGAGTCTCAAGTCTTGTAGGGAGAGTACGCCTGGGCGAGGATGCTGAGAAGAGCAAAAGCCCATTCCAAGCGGTTGCAACCTCTTGGCCCCCCAGTTTGTGCCCTATCTTAGCCCCACCCCTCCTTTCAGTTATAACGGTGCCCTGTCGCCCAGTCCAGGCTGGAGCTGCGGACCCCACCAAAGGCCGGTGAGCTTCATTGTATTGGGGGAGAGGGAGGGATCACCTCCAAACACAACTGATGACGGAGGTGGAAGCCCAGAGAGGGGCATCTACTCGCCCAAGGTCACACAGCGAGGCCCAAGATGCACCTAGACCTCCCTTCTCCCAGCCCCAAACTCTCAGAGCCCTTCGCGCCTGCCCAGGGCTCTCGAACCGCCAGGGTGCAGACACTCCCTCCCCATAACCTGCATACACGCCCCCGGCCCCCTTACCTCTGGGACCCCGGTGGCCCCGGCCTCAGAGCCGGCTTCTGGGCGGGGCGCTCAGGCCTGGCAGGAATAGGCTAGGCCAGGCTAGGTCAGGGCGAGTCCTCTGCTCCCCCTGGAGTGGGGACGCCCTCCGCCAGGTCCCAGCCGGCAGGGATGCTGCTTTCACTGCAAAGTCCAAACTCCCCACCCAGCTCTGCAGAAGCTTGAACCCAGGGATCCCGAGTCAGCCGCGCTGCCGCTGGGCTGCGGGGCTGCGGGACGGTGCGTGGGGAGGGGCGAGGTGCGGGAAACGGGGAGGAGCCGGAGTGGGGGCCACCCCGCGAACCGCCACTCAGGCTGCGTCCCCTTTAAGACCAGCCGGTCTGAGCTCCAGCCTGGGCGAGCGGGGAGCTGGAGGGCTCACTGCAATGCCTCCTGGGAGATGGAGTTTGCGCTCGGCGTGCCGTGCCGCAAAGAACCCAGAGAGAACTACAAGTCCCGGAGAGCTGCGCGCGGCTCCCGCGCCGCCCCGCCCCTGGGCTGGGCTCCGGCCCTCCTCCCCCCTTGCAAAGCTGCGCTGGCCGCCCGTGGAGGGGAGGCTGCAGAGCGAGGGCAGGAGGTGGGTGCGGCGCGGCCGGGGACGCGGGGCTCAGAGACAGCCGGTGAGGGGACGCGGGCCCACCTGGCACCTGTCCTACTATGAGAGGTCATCTTACCTATCCGAGCCTCGCCATTCTCATCCGTGCAATGGGGATGGCAACGCCAGAGGCTGCGGGGGAGGGGGCGATAATTGGGGAGAGGGGGCGGAGCTGGTGGAAGGAGTCTGGATGGATGGGGAAGGTTGGAAAAGCCCGGATAAAGAGGGTCGAGACTGTGGGAGGAGTCTGGTGGGTGGGGCAAGGAGGGGCGGAGTCTCTAGGTGAGGAGGAGAACTCGGGTGAGGTCGGAGAAACCGGAGGCTAGGGCTGGGGAGTGAGTGCTGAGAAAGCCGATAAGGCAAGCCTCGGTTAGACTGGTTGGAATGGGCCAAAAAACACTTGAGAAGGTGGGGCAGAGACACAAAGATGAAAAGGATCCTGCACAGCCTTGGAAAGCCCAGGGTTGGCCACGCGCTGATATGGTTTAGGTACCGGGTTGCCCGAGTGGGCAAACACCCGTGAATGCACAGAACACCTTCCCTCCCTTGTGATAGAAATAAAGAGCCCATCCCTTGAACTCAGTGCGTCACACACATGATCTCATTCAACTCTCATACACTAAAGGCATCGCCGTATCTGTTTACAGGAGTAATCAGGAGTGGATGGCAGGAAGAAACAAAAGTTTAGATGTCTTGCCCTATGCAGGTTGTGTGACAGGACCAGCTTCAACCCTTCTGAGTGCCAACCTGTAAGGCAACCCTCCTATTGATATTGTGAGGATGTAATGAGGAGATACATTTGAATTGTATAAATTATCATGGTTGTGAGAAGCAGGAAGGCCTTAAGGAAGAGAGTGGTTGAAATAGAGTGCTTGTGCTTGAGGAAAACCACAAGATGAAATCTGAGAGTAAGCTGAGAGGATGAAGGAAAATTCTGGAAGGGGATGGGGGATGGTGGTGGTGGTTGGGAGTGTGCACCAGGTAAGAGAATACTCTGCTGTGGCCAATGGGCAAGTCAGGTTGCCAGGTGAGGTGGCTTCCCTCCTCCAGCTGGGCAGCTCACTGCAGGGTCCGTGTCACCTGAGTGCAGACGACACCTTTTCCCACTACAGTGTGGGTTATGGGGTAATGGAGCTGCCTGTGGGCTTCGTAGAGATATGAACTGGGCAATACAGAACTGAAGCTGTTGGGTGTGGGGAGGCCAGGAAGGGAAGGTGAGGGGCGGTGCTCCCATACAGTCCCCAAGCTGTGAGCCAGTTTTTATCCTGGTGGATTGTGGGGGGGGGAAGGAGTCTCATTTGGTTTTACTGGGAGACACATTACTCACTCTGAGTATTGTCACCCTTGAAATTTACCCAGCCATATTCAATCTATCTCCTACACGGTGGGAATTCCTACATTCACTTCCACGTGGTCACCTGGGCCTTGCCTTAGATTCCAAATTGAAACTTAAAGTGTTTTAAAATAAAAATGTTTTAAAATTCAGGAAATGGTCATAACTGCCCCCCCCCCCCATTGGTAGATGTCAGTCTGGGGTGAGGAAAATGGATCTGACTAAGCAGGGAAGAAATTTCTTCCCCGTCTCCTATTCTGCCTGCTTCAGGGGATACAGAGAGGGGAGATCCCAGCCCCAACAGGATGGTCAGGCACCCATCTACTCAGGCAAAGCAGACTTTGGTAAAGGATGGAAAATAAAATGCTCTGGAGATGTAGAGAAGGAAGGAAGGAAGGAATTCCAGCTGAAGGGCCTGGCAGATGAATGGGATTTTCCTTCAAAGTGCAGGCAGAAGGGATGGCAGGTACCAAATTTCGGAGATAGGAGAGGGCCTGGCATGGTTGGTCTCTAAAGTAGGGAGAGGAATAGTATCTACTTCATTTATGGAATCAACAGACATAAAGTGCCCAGCGTAGGAATAGCTGCTCCTAAATGTCATGCATTATCATTACTGCTGTAGATACAGTCACCAGCAATCGGGGAGTTGGCCCAGGCCCACACAGCTAGTACAGGCCCAGGGGATGCCAAAGCCCCTCCACAACATTTCTGAGGCCCAGAATGGGCCCCTCTTTGTGACCATTCTCGGTGAGCTGTAACAGGAAGTTCTTTCTTGCTGTAGTAGCAGAGACTCTGGGTTTCGGGAGGAGGCGAGGGAAGCAAGGCCTGAACAGCCATCTTGTCCCAGCCTGGGTCCCAGCACAGAAACAGGCAGGCCTCGTGCTGTGCTTTCTGTGAGTGGTGGTTCTGTGGAGAGAGACCTCGCAGGTTTAACTTCTATTTCCACCACCAGCTGTGGGCTCTTTCAGCTTCGCCCTGGTTTGCTACCTCATCCTCCACAGCGCAGCAGTACGTGGAGAGGAGAATGACCAGATGATAATGCTTCTTGGGAGTAGTAATAACAAACCTGTTTGTTGAACCTGGCTATTTATTGGGGCCGGGCACTCTGACTGGAATTTTACATCTGTCGTCCTATGAGGGAAGCATTCTTTTCTTCCCCCTTTCAAAATAAAAATGTTTTTAGAACTTTCAAGGCTACAGAAAAGTTTAAAGGGTGGCTTTTCACCCAGCTACACCAATTCACCCTTTGCTGACTTTGCTTTTATACACACAAACACACACACCTTTTTGCTGAATGGTTTAAAAGTTACAGATGTCTTGACACCCTGTCCCCTAGATTCTTCAGCATGTATCCTCATTACAGAATTCTCTGACATGACCGTAATACCATTCTCATACCTAAGAAAATTTGAAAGAAGTCAATATTATCTAATAACCAGTGGATATTCAGATTTCTCCAACTGCCAGAAAATATCTTACAGAGTTTTTTTTACCAGATGTAGTCAAGATTCATGCGTCGTATTTAGTTATATCTCTTTAAGCATCTCATTTAATCTAGAAAGAGCCTCCTCAACCTGTGTAAATTTGGGTTTGAGCATTTTATCAATGATCAGATTCAGGATTTTTTTTTTCTTTCTCACAGTGCTGTATACTTATTGCATCACATCAGGAAGTGTATGATATCAGGGTCCTACTGTCCATGAATGCTAAATTTGATTGTTGGTTAAGGTCACGACCGCCTGATCTCCCCATCTCTGTACTTTTTCCCACTGTAATTAGTCTTTGGAGTGAGTCTTTGAAAAGGTCGAAATTGTGTGTTCACTATACCTTTCACTACATCCATTGATGATCCTTGCCTGAATTGCAACATTGAGGGTTGCAAAATGGTGATTTTCTAATTATGCCATTCTTTGTTTATTGACTGGTATTCTTTGTTATAGAATAATTTTTTCCTCTGTGTATGTGTCTTTCTCACTCTCCCTGTCTTTTTTTCTTTTTGGAGTGACACAGACTCATGTTTTTTTTTTTAATTCAGTGTGTAATATAGCCCATTATCATCATTAATCTTTTTTGGTACTCAAATTATTCCAAATTTGGCCAAAGAGAGTCCCTTCAGGCCAGCTCCTGTGTTGTGTTGTGTTTTGTTTGAACTGAGATATAAATCACACATAATGATTTGATATATGTATATATTGTGAAATGATTACCATGATGAGTTTAGTTACCATCCACCACAACATGTAGTTACAAAAATAGTTTTTTTTCTTTTGATGAGAACTTTTAAGATCTCCTGTGTTCTTCTGACAGGATCTCATTAATCTTTGATTGCTTCTTTGCTATCTGGCAAGAGCTATTCCAGGCTCACCTTGCACTTTTTCTGTCAAAGTCCTGGAATCATCAATTTCCCCCAGGAAACCCTGGTTTCTTTTTGTAGGATTTAACATTTAGAAACTAAGATCTGGGGCCAGGTGTGCTCATTGCTACTGGACTATCATTTCTAGGCTCTTTGAGTGAGCAGAGCTAAGAAATGATGAATGGATGAATGGGCAGGTAGAGAAATAATTATCAGTAGATTTACTGTTGTTGCATCTGGTCCTCACTGTGTAGAAGGAATAGATTGCGTGGCAAGTAGTGTCATTATGGAAGCTCCGTGGGCAGTAATGTAGGAAATTGCACAGAAAGCCCATGCCTCTTCCAGGACTCCATGAGTATACAGACTATTGGCTCAAACCTCTGTGGCTGGGTTCAGTCTCTTGCTCAAGACCCAGATTAGAGAAGAACCCAGGCTGCCTCCAAAGGACTGGTTCTCTGAGGAATATCCAAGCCCAGAACCTCCTCTCGGTCATGACTCAGAAATCAAGAATGTATATGAAGCCCTGGGCCAGGGATTTATTTTCTCTGCGTTGGTGAAATAAAAATAATGTGATATGTCCTGCCAGGGTCCCAGAGTTATTGTTGTAAGATCAATATATATATATTTTTAATTGCTAATCAGTCTTTTCAACACATGTTACAAAGTTCCTTCTCTTTTTTATTGTTTTAATACCACAGTTTGAAATGTCATTGCTTTATAGTCCTATTTAATGCATTACTAGTAGTTACTAGTTATCTTAACTAATGTTTAAGGTAATTACTCTTTTTCAAATATTCTTTCAGGTTATCAGTCATCAAATTTATCAAAGTAAGATTTTATTCTTTTTTTTTTTTTCACTTAAATTCAAATAATTAACATATAATGTATTATTGGTTTCAGAGGTAGAGGTCTATGATTCATCAGTTGTATATAACACCCAGGGTTCATCACATCACATGCCCTCCTTAATGCCCATCACCCAGTTACCCCATCCCCCACCCCCTCCCCTCCAGCAACCCTCAGTTTAAGAGTC